ATAAGTGGGGCTGCTGCAGCGGTGATGATTGGGGAGAGGGCGTGGGGCTCCTGGAAGGGGCGACGGGAGATGCGGAAGAGAGCTTTCTTCAGTTTTAGCTTTAGATCCTGACTTTTGTAGCATTTGTACCTGTGCCACTGGGGGGACTAAAGGCCCCTGGCCCTACCTCTCTGGATTCGCCTATAACAAGCTTCGCCCAATTGGATTCGCCTATGGCTGCAACAAGCTTCACCCAAAACCGTCGAAACGAATCGTAGAGGGGCTGTTTGCCCACTGGCAGCGCCGTATCTTCGACCTTACTGCATGACAACAGCGCTACTTTTGCTGGTGTTCTACCATCCCTTATTGAGGACAATCATCGAGGTTCTCCTGGATGAGGAGTAACAAGTTCGAAATGAAGCACAGTATGAACTAACCACGGCGCTGGATGAGAGTTTTCTCTGATCCGACATTATTATATTTAATGATGAGATTACACGCTGAAATATCCAGCCCTTCTTCAGCAACCGATGTGGCCACTAACACTTTTAGATGACCCTGATTGAACGCGTCAATCATGCCACGTTGTTCATCCGCGGTTTGTCCGTCAGCGCTAGTCGACTGATTTGCGCCTAAACAAACGTATGGGAGATTTCAGTTGCTACAGTGCAGCGATATTATACTAAATACTGGTGCATTAGAAGCTCTGGCAAAAAATTCAATTAATCCAGGTGCTTAGGGAATTCGCAAGGAAAGGGTAAGTAGAGTTCAGCTTTACACTGTCTTCAAGTTCTGTTTACTAGTTTTGACACACAACAGAACAAGTTATTGTGAACGAAGAAGCTGCACAAGCACTTACTGGTGATATATCCCACCGCAGAAGCAGTTGTGTCTGGCTCTTGGATAATACCCATTATGTTCAAGTGATGAGCCAAATAAATGGCCAGTTGGCGAGTTGTTACAAAGATAATTGTCTTGGAGGATGGCGACTTGGCATACTGCTCACGTAGAATGTTATGCAGCATTCTTATGATTTCTTTTTCTTCGCCAGTGTCTTCTCGGGAAAACTTGTGCTCCTCTGGTTTCACATATTCTATAAAATTTAAATCAGTCGCACAGTCAATACCGTGACCAATCTTTTGACAAGTCTTTTCTTGGCGTTAGGAAATGAGTGTTTCAACGACACTAGGTAACTAGCTCAGCGTAACACGAACAAAGAAGCAGCGAAAGTACCCTTAAAATAGCTGTGCAGCTGACTTCCAATTGCTGTCTGGTTATCAACTATTTTTTCACACAGATATGTATAGGCGAACCAACTCGGCAACAAATCGTTCAGACAGATAGCTCGATAATAGTGCTGAAATATGAGGACTATAACCCACTGGGTGGACAAACAAACGTTTTGTCGGTCGATAGACACGCAGGTGTCGTTGAGCCTAAGCGACAGAGTGAATTCTGATAGAGGTTCTGCATTACACTAAGTATTTCTTTGTTGGCAAAAGCTGACCACTCGGACAGTTTCGAACGAGGTGCTATGTGAACGCAGTGCAGACGACGAAACAACCGAATCCAGGAGATCCAGAAAAAGGAAGTTCGCAGAGGTAATTTTGGCGTGTGGCTGCATTTGATTACAGGCCTATACAGGTAGTCCTTCAGATCTAGTCATTTTGATCATTCTGAATGTGAACCGAAGC